AAAAGGTGACTAACAAAAAAAAAAAACAACACCACCACAACAACAACAAAAGCTTTAATACAAAAGATCCTCAAACATGAGCACATTACTGTGCACACAGTAGCCACTGAAGTTCCATCCTCTCTATATCTGCTACACACTAGAAGCTGCTGGTCAGTGTCTAGTGGATCAGAGAGCAAACACTGTTGGCACATGAGGTCCCAGAGGAGGAGAGAGGCCAAAGACCAGGGCTTACACATGGGTGAGAGCCAGGCTTTGCTGCAGGGAGTGTGAATGTGCTGCTCAGGGTGTCACACTTGGCAAGCTAGACTGTACTGACACTTCAGCAATGGGTAGTGACCTGAAAGTGCTTCTGTGGCAGCTGAATGACTTCCAGCAAGGGAGTGAAAACTGGATACCTAATATTCTTCTGATAAATGCTTTATTAGCCTGGTTTATTGTAATGGTGTCAAGGAATCATACGAAACAGGGGATCCAAACAGCACACAGGGCTGACATAGATTAACAGCAACCTCCTACCCTGATGGGACTGTAATTGTCACAGATGAAGCAGGTACAGCACTGAAAGGTCAGAGGAAACAGTGATACAGTACTTAGTTTTTCAGTGCCCTGGGAGGAGCTGTGCGTCTTCAATTCCTTATGGCACTAACTCCACAGAAGAAGATTAAAAAAAGGAATGGAGAAATCCTGCTGTCAGTATTGGTTCTGTGCAGCTGTAGGAAATTACACTGGGCAGGGAAGACGAGATGTGGAGACAGACCTAGAGCCCACCAGACAAGCATTTGTTTACTGAACTGGGGGAGAGGGAATGGGGTTGGGCAAATGCAGTTCAGAAACAGAGCAGGAGTAACCAAGAAAAAAAGGTGAGAAAGCACCTAGATGATGTCACAGGGCAGAACACAGGAAGAAATTACTTGGTCTGCCTTAGTAATAGGTGAACATTCGTTAGTGAAAGATAACTCTAACAACACAATTAATTGATTTTGGTTTTGCGTCCAGGAGATATAAATCTTTGTGACCATTTTGCCTGACTACTTCTGTGAAAGATGTTTCTTGGTGGTTCCTCCTTTGAGCCCAGTGCTTGCTGAGATAGAACACTTCTCCCAGAGAGCTGTCACAAAGGTGGCCTCTGCCTCCCTGCCTGATGGCTCCAAAACCCTGAATGGTTGAAAAACCTGCCTTATTTCTACAGTCAGCCTTCTTGAAAGACCTGGAACATGACAGTGTTCAAATGCCATGAATCAGAACATATTTAAGATATTATGATATTGAGATATTAAGATATTTAAGGTAAAATATCAGTGCTCAAAAGCTGATGAATTGTCTGTGCAGCACAGGTGCAGAAAAAGCGCTATTCGAAACAAACTTTGCAAGCAAAATTATTCCTTCCTCACTCAGAACCTGCAAAGCAGCTTCATATCCCAGCATTTAGATTTTATCCTTTAACTACCTGCTCAGTTAAAGCATGTCTGATTCTCGGAATTGTTCCCCCTGTGAGCTTTACCAAGTTCCCTCCTTACCTTAACTTGGCTAATGTGCAACCTGTTTGAGGCTGACCACAGAACTGTCAGTAAGGCAGTGGGATTTGACTGAGCTTTCACGATTCCATTACAGAGGATTTCCTTCCACTGGCATAATTTTTATCAGCAGTGGGTGTCCCATGCCCATGGAAGCACTGTGCGTGTGAATACACAGATAGGAGCGAGCTCTAGCTCTGGTTGCTTCCCTAGTAACTATCTGCTTGCAAAAGCAGCAAGTAGCAGAGTAGACATAAAATTCAATGCTGCTGAGGTCCCATCCATCTGTTTCAGGGCAGGCACAGTGAACAAACGTATGGGTAGCCCCAAGCAGGAGACAGTAAGAAGCGGCTCATGCCTCTACGGTGCTTCTAGACCAGCAATGGAAAGGATAACTGGTTCCTCTAAGCGCAAACTCACTTGCCTAGTGGTAGTTAGCAAAGAGTTGGCAGGTTGTGAAGTGAACTCCTACACTGGAAGCAAGAGGCTTCTTGGAAGCAAGATGCTTCCCATGAGCGTCTCGCAGTGGGAAAGGTGTTTGTCACAGTCCCACTGCAGGTGGACACACTGCATTGTCAAAGCCTACAAGCAATTCAGACATAGCTCTCAGCAGTGAAATCCGTGGCTCTAGAGGGGAAAATCAACCATTCAGACCTGGCTCCAAAATTAGGATCTGGCATTAGGCTTGCAAATAGCAGTGGGACAGATGCCTTCAGCCAGAGTTCTAGGGCACACAGGCAACCCTCCAGATGGGTCCTGATCTTGTAGTTTTTTTCGCAGCCATTACCATGCAGCTTTTACCACATCAAGCTCCAGTGGTGAGGTGCATCTGTGCGCTAGAAACCTTCGTAATGGGCAGATTTTGTGCATCCCTGAAAGCTACTTGCCCTCTTTTTCCTGAATGACCTCACCTGAAGAAAAGGGACCAGATACTTTTTTTTCTGAGTCTGTATATTCTTGGAGAGTAAAAGGACATGTGAAGGACTAAATCAGCCTCTTCTTCCACACTTGGAGGTCACGGGAAGAGTGAAAGCCTGTCAATATGTACCTTATGTTTGAGACTGGCATTTTAACACCTCTTTTGGCCAGTGCATGTTAGATTAAATTAGGTACCTCCCCAGTCAGCAAAGATTCACAAACTTTTTGCTCCCAGCTGGCATTTTTGTGCTGAGCCAGTACCTCCACTGGTCTCTCTGTGTTCTCCATCTGGATGCCTCATCAGCCACTTGCCATGCCTCAGCTTGAACTTTGCCTTTCTCTTCAGCCTTTCCCAAAGGCAGCACCTACTCCAGCAGGATCCTACCAGCACAGTCCCTCCTTCCATCTGCTTACTGAAGAACTGGGATTGCCTCCTGACTGAACCTGCTTCCCCTGGCCCCTTCCTCCCCATGGCAAAAACAGCTCTTCACCTCGAGTGTGGCAGCAAGGATCACCCTTCCAGCTGGCCTGCCACTGCTCTCAGGAGACAAAACGCACTCATTACCCTCACCCCTGAAGACCTTTCTGTTTAACCCAGATACATACATGCAGGTATGTTACACCCAGCTCCCTGGGTTCTTCCCTTTCTGGTAGGAAAAAAAAAAAAAAAAAGCTTTGAAAAGTCAAAGTATTTTGAGTTGGGATCCATTTGTTTTCGAATTGTACCATGTGTCACCTTTCTAGAAGCACTGGACTTTAACAGGGATGCATGTGCCATGACTGCAGCAAGCCACAGACATCCTGTGATGCCTCATGGCTGCGTAATTCTGTCATCCACAGCTCACCGTGGGCACATTAATTCAGGGAGAATGTATGAACCTTGCTAGGTGAGGTGAGGAAACTGCAGGCTTATGGGTCTGGGCTGTCAGCACCATTGCAATAAACATCACAGCTTTGGGAAGCTGGGCACAAAGCAAAAGGTTTTTTATGGGTTTTACTTCCCCCAACCCCCCTCCCCCCCGGAAAATAATAGCAAAATGGAAATTTACAAGAAAAATCACTGTACTGAAACCTACATTTTCATCTTAAAAGCATTTGTAAGGAGAATTTATATCTAATTTCAGCTTAAAGATGCTTCACAAACATGCCTTATGGTCTCTTCTTGCAACTATGGTTTGCTGCTGCTTTTGAGGGCAGAATGGCTCCCAGCCTCCCAAATACTCATATGGTTCAATTCTTTTGTTTTCTTGTCTCTCTGCTCAAGGCTCCCTGGCTACAGTGGAATAAGGCTTCCGCTGGTAATCCTTCATGATTTTCTTTTCATCCCTCCAAACTTGCCATGGGCAGCTTTGTCTACTTCAGGTATCTCCTCTATGCAGTCAACTGATTCTTAAGTTTCTTTCTTCCAGAAAGGCCTTATACCCATATTTCGACAACTTGTATAAAAGATAAATTACTTTCTTATTCTGAGCTGCAGCACTGCTTCTCTGTTATGCAGTGTGAAGGGCATGTCTTTTTTTTTTACACTTTTTAGCTTTTTTTTTCTTCTCTCTCTGCTTACACAACAACGTAACTGCCGGGAAATCAGCAGCATTTCTGTTTTGATCAAATCATTCATCCAGTCACTCAGACTTGTTCATGCTGGATTGAACATACATAAAGGAGCTTCCCTGTACAAGCTGCCTTCTGGGAGGCTGGGTGTCACCAAATAACCTGTGGTGCCTTCCACCCCCCTGCAGTTAAACTGGACCCTCAGTTTCTCACACTCTTTGCCTACAGAGTCTTTTTGGGCATTCCTGCTGCAAAGACATGTGTACTGAAAGCCTGAGGAGTGAGCATGAATTAAACTCTACAGTTTCTTTTTAAATTTTGTGATTTAGAGTAACACTGATGCAGCGAACTTGGCCTGTAACAGCCCCTGATGGTGGGGGTTTTTTTTATTTTACTCCTCCATGTCCACACCACCAGGATACTGGCACAGGAATGACTGTACACACACATACACACACACAAAAAAAAAACACAAGGTAGAAAAATTGATTTTGAGAGCTGACTTGTCTGTCAGGAAAGAACTTAGCATTCTCAGTTGTTCCTGTCAGATGGCAATAATGAATCTACTTGCCTTAGGTTTATTCACTCCGAGTACTGTCAAGCAATTCTGTCACTTGATACTGTGTTTATTTCAAGGCTCAGATGGTTTCTGGTGTTAAAACCATACAGCATCCATTTCCATCATCTACAGAATTAGTCCTCAGCAAAGAAACTGAAGTTGTTTCATTTCTGCAAACCCTGACAGGCTCACTCAGGTGAGCACCAGGCGATAGCTAAAACAGCTGCTTTAGTACAATGAGAATTCTTTAACGAGTGGGTGAAGGGCTGGGTGAATTGCTTCCCCTGCTCCACGACGGCCGTCCTGAGTCTTGCCTTCCCCCTCTCTTCTGCACTCTTAAACATTCCCCCAGAGGCGAGGGTGCGGGTGACTGAAAGCGTGAAGTCACCTGACAGGACGCTGCCCGGCTCCCTTCTCTCTGCACAGCACAAGCTCTCCTTGCAGAGTGGCAGTGAAAGCAACTCTGCAGGGCTTTGCTCTGCTCAGCAGGCTGCAGAGTTTGCTGCAGATGCAGACCTGAAATCCATCTTTCTACCACCTACGTACCGTCCGGGGGGGGTTGCATGTCTTCTTGCCTTCTGTGTCTTTCCCCAGACCTCTGTTCTCGAGAGGAAGCTCTGTTCTGCTGCTGGCAATGCATCCTGAGAGGTGGCTATGTTCGTGCTACCCCACTTTCTGTGTGTGGGCATTCGTGTTCACATCCTTGACTAAAGGTAGGCTCTCTTTGATACTAGTGTCTAAAATATTTCCTAGTCATTGTCTCTGCTTCTGTTTTCCTGAACGAATTCAGTGTAAAGCCTCTACTGGATATTTGTGACCTGAAATCTTTTAACATTTCTACAGCATTTTAAGAGAGCTAAAGCAATACTTGTTTTCTCACATAAAACTCTTCATTTTTGTTTGATAACTAACTGAAGAAAGGTTTCTAGCAAACAATGAAAACAGAATAGCATTCTAGTGATTTCATTTGGTGCTTGAATTAGCAAGTGCTTAAATAATGCAGTCTAAAGATGTTCACATTCAGTACTCACACCTTCAAAAGTGAGAACTCGATCTGTAGTTGTTCACCATTGTTTGTAATCTATGTTTAAATATGCTGGAGTCATTTCCATGCACAAGTCTCACTGAGGTTTAGCAGGATTTTTGCTTTTAAGGCACTACATCTTTTTTGAAAGTGGCACTTCTGCTGATGACCAAGATGTGCATGACATACAGTGCTTGTGTTAGCAAGGTATAAGGTGTTGTCTTAAAGCAGCACCAGTGGGATGAGAATCTGTAACTGAAGTTTGAAAATGGAAGTCCTAAATACTCGTCTGGTTTTGGGTTTTTATTTTATTTTATTTTAAAGCATGCTTCTGTTAAGAAGCCAGTAGGAAAATTTCAGACGAAACATAATTTTAAACTCATTGGCTTTAGCTGTGAAACTTTGCTAAGAAACTCATGTTCCCACAGTAGTGTTCTTCTAGTCACAGTGCAGTGAGGGGTGATGGTGAAATCTGAAAAGGAAATTTTGATTTACTTTATGAATGGCACAACACGTGATGTGCAAACACCCAAACTTTAAAGACATTCATGTATCTATTCATGATGCTAAAAGGATGAAATGAAACGTTAAGTTATGGAATTTTTACTAGAATTTTTTTCCGTATGTGTAAGTAACCAGTAACCAGCATTTCAGCTTGTAATTATGATAATCTCCTGCAATATGAGGATGCTTTGTGTCACTTTAGATGCAAAATGACTTTAAAAAAAACCAACAAACAAACAGGTGAAAGGCATCCTAAGCATGAAAGCAGTGCAGTATGCTGAGACTAAGTGTTCCCCTGTAGGATCCTGTAGGACATCTCTGCATCCAAGGGCCCTTATGTTTACTGAAAGATACTTAAATTTCAAATTTATGTTCTATGGTGTGCCAGAGACCATGCTGCCTGACACAAACACATTCCATGTTTAATATTTGCAGTCATGATTGCCTTATCATGACTGCTTTCCTGATGCATTCTGTTGCAGCCTGGAACTAATGCAAAAAATTTATGAATGTGATTCTGAAAAACTGGTTTTTCCTCAGTTGTATCAGTAACACCTGTGGGATCATCAAAGAGTTTCGATAACAAAGCTGTGCACAGTATAATAGGGAAGTTCTAAATCTTGACTTCATAAAGCACTTTGAGTGTAAGTGCTGAATTATAGTAGTGCATTGCAACAGCAAAGTTATTCAAGGAAATTATTCTTCTGAGGTGATGTTGCCAGAGCTAGCACGATTGAATATTTTCCTTTTTAAAAAAACAGACTGCAGCCTCTAGAACTGTGAAAATAAGTGTTTCAGGTCTGAACTGCATGTAACAAGTTAAGAACATTCTTTTTAACTCTGAAGTGAGTCAGCTTAGTGCCTGACACACACCTTGTTCCTGCTAAGCCACCTGGTCTATTCTTTATTGACTGGGGATTACAGCTATGATCTGCTTGTTCCCAAAGAATGGCTCTGTATTACAAAAAATCATGGTATTCTATAGGTAATTTTAGTATTTCCATTTTTTTGTTTGTTTGTTTATAGAACTCAATAAATGAACTTCCTTCAGAACAAAAATTGGGCTATCTAGAGAGTTGAAAGAGGAAACATGAGGATGAAATGTAGTCATAGTGTTTAAGATTAGGAGGCATCATTACAATCACCTAAACAGAACCCCTCGCATTTGGATAGAGTAGTTGAGGCCTCAAGCTTTTTATTTCTGAGTAAGTAGCTATGTTTTTCATGAACTCTGTTTTATGTAAAGACTCCCGAAGGTTAAATCAACCACATTCCTGTTTTTTCTACTTCACACTTCATTCTACTTTGGTCTGATACCAGGGCGAGCCAAGTGGAGGTGACTTGATACGTGGTCACAAGCACAGGATCCAGAAATACAGCACAGATTTAGATAATAGTACATTATCCAGCACCTTCTTTCCCTTTTTCTTACCTCTGGTATATCTATTCTTTGTGTTTGCTAACACAGGTACCACAGCCTGCGAATCAGAGGAACGGTTATTTCACCACCTCTTCTCCCAGTACAACCAGTTCATCAGGCCAGTGGAAAATGTGTCCGATCCAGTCAGAGTGTATTTTGAGCTGGCCATTACCCAGCTTACAAACGTGGTAAGACTCACTACGGAATACTTGCTGAGATTTGGGAATGGTTGTAAACACACACAAATCGCTGATGCAGGAGATGCAATTGTGGTGGCTGCACACAACCCTAACTGGCATTTCATGTGGGCCTAAGTGCATGTGCTGAGACCTTTGCTGTTCTCTCAGTTAGCTGAGTTGCTCCTGTTGCTCAAACAGGTGGTTTGAGTGAAGCAGATTCATTTGCCTGCTCTGTGGCATCAAACCCCTTCTCCCCAGGCAGCAGCTTCCAGAGCCCAGAGCGGCAGTGCTGAATGTTCAAGCCCACCCTCCACAGGGATAGACCACTTTCAGGGACACCTGGTGCGTCCAGGTTGTGTGAAGCATGTGTGTGCAGTTCTCCTGTGGGTCTACCGTCATTTCTCAGTGGTCCTGAGGGGTAAGATCTTTTTTGCATGCCTTTTCTTCAGTCTGTTTGTTTCAACATGACGTAAGAGAAGTGCAGCCCGCAGAGTGGTGGGGAGAGGAGTGTTGTGCGTTTTGGGATGCACCATACGCAAGGGTGAGTGTGTCTGGGGTGGCAAAGCCTCTGGGCAGGACAGGGAGTCTGTGGAAGGGGCAAAGCCCGGCTTCAACCCTTGCTGAAGTCTCTCTGTGAGGCAAATTATCTGCAGAACAAAGGGAGAGTTTTGATTCTGAAGCACCTGGTTGAGTCCATAATGAAATGACAGGAAAGGAGCAACATTCAGCAAGAGCAGGGGAGAGAACTTATCTGAGAGGATGAATGCAGGCATTCTAAGTCCTCGTGGTGAAGGCTGTCACCTCTTGGAGTTCCTCTGTGGAAGTACTTTGTTTCATAGTTACAGGTAGCTTGGCAGGTTTCCACAATTCTGCCTCACATTGCAGCCCCTGGCTCCTGGTGCTGTCTTTGAAGAAAGAAATGGACATTATAAATAAGTCAGCTGGACTTTTTTCAGGAGAGAGTCATGATTTTTATGAGAATTTAGATAGTTTAACCCACAGACAGGAGCCCTACTAGTTTTTCAAAATTATTGTTGTGCTTAAACTTTATGTACAACCATGTTAGTATTTACTTTGGCATGAAATGTTGAATCTACAATATTTTTCACTTTTGTATGGTAAATATCTTAATTTTTTTGAGTTCACGTGCTTAAAAACTAAAAACTACCCAAACCAACATTTTTGCAGATATTTTCTTTGTGAATGTCAACCTGCATTCATACACATATGTAGTATGTGTATTTCTGAATACTTTTAGGCTGAAGGCTCATTAGAACAGCATCCAAAACTTTATATTTGTGTTTCTTGGAGCACTTTCCTGATCCTTCACAGATTGGCAATAGCAATAATTGACAGTAAAAAAGAAAATCTCTATATAGAGTGACCTAGTTTTGTGCCTTTTGAGTGCATCTGATCTAGAGGTTTGTATAGGAATTCAAGAACACTGTGATTCAGTTGCCATTTTCTTGAATCTTCACGAGCTCTGTACAGTGTTATCAAAGCTTTTTAAACACTGAAACCAACAAAGTGCACAGCCACCAACATACTTCTTCTGGTGCTGTTTCCAGAGGAATTGTAGGTTTTGTGCTCTTCAGGTTCTCAGCCACTGGCAAAAAGGTGCAACTCAATATTTACGGAGTGTGATTTTTCAACAGAGCTTTAAAAATTTTACAGTAGAGCTGCACATGACTGTGCACAATATATGAGCCCCTGAAAGGTATCCAGAAAAAAAATCTGGTTTCAGTAAATATGGAATTCTATTTTCCATTTTTGGACTGTGTTTCTTTCTAGGATGAAGTCAATCAGATTATGGAAACAAATTTGTGGCTTAGACATGTAAGTGACTTTGTTGCATTTCTCATGTGTTTCGCATTCATATGATCAAATAGGTTACCTTGTGAGTTACAACTACAGAATATGTTCTTGTTTTGTAACAAAGATTTTAAAGGATGAGTAAGGAGAAGCTCCATTAACCAAAGCCATAACTCAAAATGTAATTTCTTCTTTCTTGTCTCCTTTTCTGTGCAGTATATTCTCCTCCAGCTTTGTGATCATTGCATTGTTTTTGGTGTTTGTTTTTTTTGTGAGTTTGTTTGTTTGTTTGTGGTTTTTGTTTTGGTTTTTTGTTTGTTTGTTTGTTTTCTTTTCCCCTTGTAAAACTAGCTGGATGTGCCCATTAAAGAGTGATTAAATGTGCATCTCTGTATTCCTAGGTAATCTCCACCAAAACATCTATTAGCAAAAGGAACATACCACCATTTTTCCTGGTTTTTTTTTCATATTTGCATAGTTAAAATCCTTAAGGGACCTAAACTACTAAGAAAACACAGTCAACTTGCACCAGTTTTCTCCAGGCACTGATTGTGATCCACACAAAGTTTTCTGCAAAAGATACTGTACTTATGATAGGCTGAGACACAATGGAGCATGGCCCTACCATAGTGCACTAGGCAGCAATGCAAAATATTTGTTGATAATTCAAGGGTTTAAAATCTTTATCCACTCTTATTTCAGATTTGGAATGACTACAAATTGCGATGGGATCCCAAACAATATGATGGCATTGAATTTATTCGTGTAGCAGCAGATAAAATTTGGAAACCAGATATTGTCTTGTATAACAAGTATGATGATTCATTTTACCCATTTTATTGATTCATTTTACCCTTTCCCTCAAAAGTATCCTCTTTGAGCCTCCATGAAAGACCTTTCACTTTCGTGTTAATTTTCTTTGCCTCATTTGTCTTTCTAGTGCCGTGGGAGATTTTCAAGTTGAAGGAAAGACCAAAGCCCTCCTTCGATATGATGGAATGATCACCTGGACCCCACCAGCTATTTTTAAAAGCTCCTGTCCTATGGATATCACTTTTTTCCCGTTTGATCATCAGAACTGTTCACTCAAATTTGGCTCATGGACCTATGACAAAGCCAAAATCGATCTTCTGATCATTGGATCCAAAGTAGACATGAATGACTTTTGGGAAAATAGTGAGTGGGAAATAGTTGATGCTTCTGGCTACAAACATGATATCAAATACAACTGCTGTGAAGAGATCTACACAGACATAACATATTCCTTTTATATTCGAAGGTTGCCAATGTTTTACACCATAAATCTGATCATCCCTTGTCTTTTCATCTCATTCCTGACTGTGCTAGTTTTCTATCTGCCATCTGACTGTGGTGAGAAAGTGAACCTTTGCATCTCTGTGCTCCTTTCTTTGACTGTATTTTTACTGGTGATCACAGAAACAATCCCATCCACCTCTTTAGTAATTCCCCTAGTAGGTGAATATTTACTGTTCACTATGATATTTGTGACTCTGTCAATTGTCATCACAGTGTTTGTCCTGAATATACATTACAGGACTCCAACCACACACACAATGCCCAAATGGGTAAAAACTGTCTTCCTTAAGCTGCTCCCCAAAGTCCTGTTGATGCAGAGGCCACTGGAACAGCAGAAAAAAAATGACTCTAAAAAACCCAAGAAAGCATCAGACAGTAAGTCAGGCAAGCCAAAGCACAGCAAACACAAAGATACCAAATTTCAGAAGGAGCAGCGATGCAGTCACTGTGACAAGGCCGCTGAACTCGCTACCACCAAGAGAGGACTGAGCCATCAGAAATGGATGGAAGAGCAGGTGGAGTACTCCCCAGAGGTGAAGGATTTCCTCAGCAACGTCCAGTTCATCGCAGAAAACGTGAGGTCTCAAAATGAAACCAAAGAGGTAAGGGAGGTAACCCTCCCGCTGGGAATTGCTTGGAGTGTTGTGAAATCAATGGTGATGACGAGGTTGAGTGCCTGGGGATAAAGAGCAGGGGGGAAGGTCAGCAGGGTAGATGTCCTGGTAGAAATCTGTTGCATACCACCTAGCCAGGATGAACAGGCAGATGATGCATTCTACAAGAGGCTGGAAGAAGCATCACAGCCACTAATCCTTGTGCTCATGGGGAACTCTAAGTTGCCAGATGTCTGCTGGAAGTACAACACAGCAGAGGAGAATCAGTCCAGGAGGCTCCTGTAGTGTGTGGAAGATAACTTCTTGACACAGCCAGCAGGGGAGGTGCCCCACTGGACTCACTGTTTGCAAACAGAGGACTGGTGGGGGATGTGGTAGTCAGAGACCTTCTTGGGCACAGTGACTGTGGAATGATAGATTTCAGTTTTGGATGAATTTAGGAGGAGTGCAAGCAGAACTGCCACCTGGGACTCCTAGTGGGCAGACTTTGACCTGTTTAGGAAATTGATTGGCAGAATCCCTTGGGAGTCAGACCTGAAGGTCTAAGGAGTCCAGGAAAGCTGGACATGCTTTAAGAAGGAAATCTGAAAGGTGCAGGAACAGTAAGACAAGCTGCTGGGGAGGAAGGCTATCCTGGCTAAATGGAGAACTTAGACTGGAACTCAGGGAAAAAAAGAGAATGTTTCACCTCTGAAAGGAGGGGCAGGTAACTTGGAGTGATTACAAGGATGCTGTGAGGTTATGTAGGGAGAAAATTAGAAGGGCTGAAGCCAAACTGAAACTTAATTTGGCCACTGTGGTTAAAAACAACAAAAAAAGTTTCTATAAATACACTGACACCAAAAGGAGGGCTAAGGAGAATCTCTGTCATTTGGTGGATGCAGAGGGTAGCACAGTGTCAGGGAATGAGGAAAACACTCAGGTACTTAATGCCTTCTTTGCCTCAGTCTTTAATACCTAAATCAATTGTCCACAGGATGCTAAGCTTACAGAGCTGGGAGTTAGTGATGGGGAGCTGAGTGAAGCCCCCATAATCCAGGAGGAAATTGTTGGTGACCTGCTATGCCAGTTAGACACCTGCAGGTCTGTGGGTGAGCCCAGATGGGCAGCACCTGAGAGTAACGAGGGACCTGGCAAAAGAGCTTGCTGAGCCACTTTCCATTATTTACCAGCAGTTCTGGTCAACCAGAGAATCCCCAGTCAAATGGAAATCGGTGTGATGCCCCTCTACGGGAAGGTTCAGAAGGACAATCTGGGAAACTACAGGCCTGTCAGTTTGACATCAGTGCTGGGGAAGGTCCTGGAGCAGACCCTCCTGAGTGCCATCACACTGCACATGCAGCAGAGACAGGGCATAAGACCAGCCAGCATGGATTTACAAAGGCAGATCATACTTTACCAACCTGATCTCTTTCTAGTGACCCACTTAGCAAATGAGGAAAAGGCTGTGCATGTTGTCCATCTAGACTTCAGCAAAGCATTCAACACTGTCTCCCACAACATCCTCCTGGATGAACTGGCAGTTTGTGCTTGGATGGATGTACTCTTCGCTGGCTGGATAGCTGGGTCCAGAGAGTGGTGGTGAATGGAATTATATCCATCTGGGTTATTGGTGCTGTTCCCCAGGGCTTGGTGCTGTTTAATGTCTTTATCAGTGACCTGGAGGAGGGGATCAAGTGCACCCTCAGTCAGTTTGCAGGTGACACCAAGTTGGGTGGGAGTGTAGATCTGCTGGAGGGTTGGAAGGTCCTGTAGAGGGATCTGGACAGGCTGGATCGAGGACAACTGCATGAGGTTCAATAGGTCGAAGTGCCGGGTCCTGCCCTTGGGTCACAACCACCTCACACAGCCCTGCAGGCTTGGGGAAGAGTGGCTGGAAAGCAGCCCAGCAGAAAAGGGAATGCTGGTTCTACAGCCAACTAAATGTGAGCCAACTGTGTGCCCAAGTGGCCAAGAAGGCCACTGTATCAGAAATGGTGGGGCCAACAGGACTAAGGTAGCGATTGTCCCACTGTACTCGGTACTGGCGAGGCTACACCTTGTGTATTGTGTTCAGTTTTGGGTCCCACACTTCAAAAAAGACATTGAGGGTGCTGGAGTGTAGCCAGAGAAGGGCAAGCAAGGTGGTGAAGGATCTGGAGCACAAATCCTATGACATGCAGCTGAGGGAACTGGGGTTGTTTAGTCTGGAGAAGAGGAGGTTTGGGGGGATCCTCACTGTTCTCTACCTGAAAGGAGGTTGTATGAAAGTGAGGGTCAGTCTCTTCAGCCATCTCTCAAGCAAAAGGATGAGAGGAAATGGCCCTCTCAGGGTGTGCCAGGGGAGGTTCAGATTAGATATTAGAAAAAAAACTTTCACTGGAATTGAAATAAGTTGCCTGGGGGAGTGGTGAAGTCATTGTCTCTGAAAGTGTTCAAAAGCATCTGGATGTGGCTTGGGAACATGGCTTGGGGCAATTACGGTGGTACTGGTTTGACAGTTGGACTAAGATGGTCTTGAAGGTTTCTTGCAACCTTGGGTTGATTCTGGGTTTCTGTGATCCAAAGAGGCATGGCACCACAACTCTGGCAAATGAAAACATGATTTAGAAGGGCAGCCCAGAGGAACTTGTGGGGTTTTTTGGGTCTAGAAATGAAAATTTTTGTATCTGTGAATGGGCTCAAGTTTCCCACAGGAAGGGATGAGATAGATGATCCATTGGGAATGGAATAAGAAAAGTATTCTCATCTGTTCCCCTTCTATCCCTAGTGGATAGTTTAAACAGCAAGACAGTTTAAGAATAGATGCAAGATTCAACCTTCAGTGAAAAAGGGGAGGAGCAATAGCCTGCTGCACCCATAAGGAATGAACTTTGATCAGCAGTGGTTCAAACAGAGTCAATCCTGCCATAGAGCAGGGGATAAACTAGATGGGATTTTCCAAGGTCTCTTCCAACCCTCTTTCCATAGATCCTCAAAAACAACCCTCTTCTACTACTCAGCCCTGGTAAGCAGTGACATCCCAATACCAAGTTTGCTATTTGCAAAGCAGGTTGCTTCTCTGTGTTAGTAATGGAACAAGCAAATTTGGAAACTGCTTTTTAAAGAACAGGGCTTGTCTAGCAACGCAGCAGTTGATCTGGAGAAGAACTTCTCTCAGTCAGTGATAAATCTGGCAAAGATAATCCATTCAGAATGCTGTTGTCTGTACTTCACTGCAGTCTGAGATGTTCCAATTTTTACAGTGATTTGAATAACTGTGGCTTCAGCAATGCAGTATTTTCAGCCATGATAAACATACATTGAAATAATAGTTGAGTTTTGAGGGGAGACAACTGGATAAAAACAGACGAGTTGAATAAAGACCAACTAAAAAGAAAGGACTGAGAGGGGTTTAAAAGTGGAATTTGGCATTTAAACTACTGAAGTTGCTTGTGTGAGGTTATAAATCTGTCATCCTTGTTGCAATCACTGTCATAGAAAATGATGCACTTTGGAATTTAGGGAATTCTTGGGCTTCATCCTCAGGTGTAATCACAGACAACTAAAAGCAACTACAAGAGAGATTTTCTGACATTCCCCCACATCCAGACCTCACAAGGATCAGGAATGCTCTGACACTTCAAGATACTTTAAAAAAGTTTAGAACCTAATGAAACATATTTGATCTCTCATGAAGTATTTGCTTTTGCTTTTGAAATTTTTTAGATGCTCTTTGATGGCAAAATGAATTTCAAAACTAACTACTGCCGTATTTGTACTGAAAACCACAAAAACTTTGTAAGGGAAACGCTGAGATGAATACTTTGTATCAGAATATTTTGTTGAAATTCGTGCAACTTCTATGAAACTAAAGGATTACTTTTCCCCCCCTTTTTTAAGGAATATATTGACATAGAGGAGGATGGGAACTGAGCTGAGCCTTGCTTAGTACCTATGCCCTGACTGTTCTGCTTAACCCAAACATTTCAGCCCTGCTTTCACTCTCACATCAGGTGCATAAAACACATCCATGTACTGTAAGCAGCTGATTTCTCTGATGCACTCCAAAAAAAGAAGAGGCTTTGCATGAAGTCACCTGAACAGCATTGTCTTCATTATACAGCTCATGAAAAGCCCTCCTTTGCCGGTTTTGTTTATTTGCATTTTGCAAATCTGTCCTGCTAAGTGAAATTCTGTTCTTAGTCTAGTGGGTGCATCAATAGCCCTGTATCTTACCTTTTAAAACATACTAGGGGTGGGAAGCAGGATTTTTCATCTACCAAATCCTTCCTTTTAGGGGGAAAAGGAAAAGGATTTTTTTTTTTTTCTCAGGCAAACATGGAGAAAATTATTCTGGAGGATGCTTCTGCTTCAGCCAGACATACAAACCAATATTAGTGTTATCGTGTATAAATAAAAGTCCTTTAAAAATTTTGGCAATGTTTACAGCAGCTGGAGTTCTTGCTGTATTTTTTCCAAGTGAAGTACAGCAGCAGCATCTTGGGGGAGAACATAATGAAACTGGGAAAGCAAGTGAAAGATCCCTCAGCAGAGAGCTCTTAACCAGCCACTTGTTTATATGAGTGACTGTTCTTCTGATGCAGCGGTTCTTGTATGTAGGACGAGTTAAAAAGTACAGTTTAAAGGACAGCAAGTTCACTGAATGTGGTTGTAAGGTCTGTCTCTCAGGCAAACACATTCCTCTCTGTCTTGCTTGGGACAAGACACTGCAGTTTGCTCTGTTGGACTTGCTGTAGTCCACGTGTCCAGTTGTCCAGTTTTCTGAAATCAGCAGGGCTTGATTGGAGAGACAGTTAAGCAAATCAGACCAGAATAGCAAACTCTCTTGTGCGGGCTGTCGGGATAAATCCCTTGATGGAGTCTTGTGATGTGCAGCTGTGGTGGCTGTGCCTGCTGTTACATCACCCCACTCTGCACCCACCACAGGAACAGGACCTATTTGCTAGTGTCAGCATCACAGCCATAGATTGCCAACAGATCTGAATATTTAGAAGAATTCAGCAGACTAGGACAGTGTTGTATGTTCTCAGTCAAAAGTGGCAAAAAACACTTTTAGAAAATCAGCCCCTTCAGAAGAGGATTGAAAACTACAGCAATTATAAGCATGACAAGCAACATTCCTGACTTGCATGTGTGTTCTCCCTCACATTCCAAAGCAGAAGGGGCATTTCTGCTGCATGCTCTCAACTAGCAAGTGCATGTAACATTATGCAGAGTTTATCCTTTTCTTTCTTTATTCTCTTGCAGGTGGAAGATGACTGGAAATACGTAGCTATGGTGATAGACAGAGTGTTTCTGTGGGTATTTATAATCCTTTGTGTGTTTGGGACCGCAGGACTCTTTATCCAGCCACTGATAGCAGACACATGACTTGATCCACTGCTTTTTACCCGCTTTGGGTTTTGTTTCATTTTTGGTTTGTAAATTTACCTTGTTTTTATCTCCTTTACATAACTCAGCTGCTCATCACCTCCTCAGCACCCAGCTGCAGAGGGCCCCAGATCAATAAAGCACATGTTTATATTTGTGTTTGAAATCAGACAGGTCTTAAGCACTTAATCATATTGGAAGACAAAAATGACTTCATATTAGAATGTGATAACCATGTAAGGGATACACATTTGAAAACTACGTGATTTCAAAATCTTGAATAGCTTGTTCATCTGCCACTTAGCTTTGCATGTGATCAAAAGTCCCCTCTGCTTCCTGATACTGAATACCAAGACCCTGATGAGCTTCAGAAGGATTTCCAAGCCACATCTCTCTCATCAGATTAACAGTGGTCCTAGTTCCACAGGAGCTTCCCCTCTGAAAACTCTTGCTTGCTTAGGCTCAGACATAAGCCCAGCGTTCAAGGGTTCATTCTCGTCACACGTCACAGACAGAACTGGCTTGACAGAATCAGATTAATCTGAGTTTTCCTGTGTTTAAGACAGCAGACCAACTCAGATTACACACATCTCAGCAGAAGAAGGCTGGGTATCATGAATCCTGTGCAAAGCTGAGCACCTTGGTTTGAACAGCTGTGCAGCAATGTTCTGTTTGCTGGTTCCTCACGGGTCAGTGCTGTGTGTGCAGACCTGGAACTGCAGGGGCACATCCTTTGGGGCTGAGGCTGCTGCTTTGTAACCAGCTTCCCAATCCTAGTGTGCCTAATCCTGAAACATTTTGCAGATGTGACCCTGACGTGGTTTCTATAATATATGGATGGTTCACCCTTGGGTCCCTTGTCCGTTTATATTCCTGCTGGGTTTGTGCCAAAGGACTCTTCTTTAAAGGGCAGCAATCCAATTAAACCCAGTAGCTTCAGGGTACAAAGCTCTTCTTTCTTACAGGAGCCCCTAAATTTAACTGTACAGTGTCAGTGCAGTGTTTTCAGTGTCTGCCGTGTATCAGTCACTGCTTTGAACATCACCAATACCTGGAAAGTATGAATCCCTGTTTCTCAAGTCTCTGACTGTCCTTTTACTCTTTTGTGACACTCCATAATAAAGAGAATAGGATTGAATATATGTATATGTTAGAGATAAAGGTGGAATGACAAGAATATAACTGTCTTAATCCAGCCAGTCATGACTGTCTAGAAGAAAACTATACTTTCCCGTAATCCTCCTGAATGTTGCATAATTATGTAGTGACTGACAAACAGATGTATGAACAAGCATGGCTTATTTTGTCAGCCTGTCGATTAAATATCACTCCTGAGATATACCTTCTTGAAGAATTTGTGTGTTTGTTTTCTTAAACTGTCTGTCTTTTTGGGACTCCCATCTATTAACACATTTATAGATGCTACTAGATGACATTTACTTTGCAGGCTTTTTAATCAGAAGGGACACGAGGGAAAAGAAAGGAAATTTGAAGAGGAGAGCTGCAATCTGAGCCTGAAAGCTTCATTCCTATGAAAAGACATTTTCTAGGAGAAGACATCTGACTGCCAGCATTCACTGTTGCATTCTGTGACCATCCAAACAATCAGAATATTATGGTGGAAGGTGTATTGCACAGGCACCTTAAGCATGACAGCTACTACCCCAGAGTCAATGATCTGACTTCAGCAAAATCCCTGACTTTTTGTCAAAGCATTCACTGTTGCACAGCTCCTCATCTCCAGTTAGGAAGCCTTTATGCCCCCAGCACCAGCTCCCTGTCTTTGTCATTTACAGAACTACTCGTCTCTCTGTGCTCATCAGCCTGGTATCTTAAGAAAGTAATGTTCTGTCTCTTTCTGAGTGTACTATTTCCAGTTATGTCTTCTGCCATTTTCAGCTGTGTTTGGCACATTCAGGGCTGGGAGTCTAATGTTCTCCTGTCAGCTTTGTGAAAGTCCTTGGCTGATTAAAGAGAATGGGGATGGGGGTATCACCTTGGAGAAAGCTGTAACAGGGGCTGCCCTCTGAGCAAACGTGGAAGAACCCACACGAAAATGACGTTTCTGCTTGCCCCAGCTCTTGTTGCAGGACTTTCTAACCGAAATAGCAAGAAAAGTTATTTTAAAACTATTTTTTTTATTATAAAACCTAGAGGTAGCGCCATCCCAGGCGTCGATGGGTGAACCAGCGCCCAGAAATGGAGGAAGCGTCTGTTGAGACAATAGTAAGGCAGAGGGGTTGGCTGGTTATTCTTGTTAGGATTTGTAACCTGCAATGTTGCCATCTACCGGCAGAGCACGTGGACGGAGGGCCGTCTGCTCGAATGTCCTCCTAGCTGTGTTTTTGTCTTGTGGAACACGCTGAATGTTTTTGTGGGCCAGCAGCAAAGAGATTTAAAGAACAGTCATCTGAAGGGAGTGAGTAGTGAGACTGCAGTCCCACATGCAACGGACTGGAGTCTGGAAGCCATAGATGTGCAATGTTCACACAGCTCCCACTTCGATTACCTGAACATGCTGACCTTCACCAGCAGAAGCCGGGAAAAGCAGCCTGGAATCAGACACATCTGTCAGATAAGCACCTGAAGAACTTGTGCAGGAGGGGAAGTTGTCATCTGTCACAGCTGACAGCCTCCTGGCAGCAGTGCTCAGAGAGAATACCTATCACTACTTGAATTCAGGAGTCTGTAAATACTGGAAAGAAGAGCTTCCTGGGTTTTTTCCTATGGATATTTCACAGTACTGGCCAGGGGAACAAATGCAGCTTATGCAAGAAGAGAGAGAGGAGCAGCTGGTAGAAAAGTCAATGTGCATAAATTTTATACCAGTGTCTTATGTTAAGACATCTATCTACATATGCTAAACTAAATGGGTTTGTTCTAGGTTCCCTCATATAATAACCAGATCTGAATGCTCCTTGCTCAATCACATAAAGAACTAAAATGTTATGAGGACGTTACAAGAATGTGACACCTCTGAATAGGTTTGAGACCAGGCTTTTTAAATGGACTACAATCTAGCCTTGCTGACAATAAATCAACAACAAAGCCCAGTGCATAAGCACTCTCACCCCAGAAATCATTTACTAAATACATCTTTATTAATAATAATTGTACAAGTGAACAGCATTTTCTGCATTGACACAATGAGATAGGATTCTGTTAATTTACATGCATGCAAAATCCAAGCACAGGAATACCTCTGTGTTTTTAACACTTTCCAGCCTGCATCCCTGGGGAGACAGTTTCAAGGCTACCTAAAGATTTTACATACATTTAGATAGTCAAAAATTGGAATTCCAGTCCCTTGCTAACCTTGAAAACATCTCCAAGTTCTGAATGGGATTTTCTAAAGCACCCCGTGTGGGAAAACACTGCCCTAGCAAAAGTGGTGAGAGCTTCACCTGTGTGCTCAAGAGTTTCACTTGTGTGTTTTCTGTCACATCTCACTTACAATTAAGAGCTGTTTCTAATCATGCAGGAGGATCCCATATAAATGAATCAAAGGAATAGAAATCTGAATTGCCTGGGAAACATGAAGAAGCCAACATCCAAAGATGTATCCTCCTGGCAACCAGCCCACCCCATAGCACTCAGGAGAAACTCCACTCCTGCAGCAACCACAAGTTTCATTTGCCAAAAATTAGGTCTGCAGCTTCCCCCCAGCTGAACTGTTCAGGAACATCACTGTTGCCTCATGGAGTAGCATAACCACATTCCTCCAAGCAATATGCTTCAGGTGATCTTCCACTTGTCTTGTGAACCAGCAGGTGAAAGAATCCTAATTTTTAAGTGTGGAACATGGGGGAAATCCCCACTCATTCAGCCTTCTGGTTGAACAGCAAGCAAAATTGCAAATAATAGGGAACAGTGGGTAACACCTGGTAGCTTCCTGACAGCTGAGATGAGATGCATGACACAAAGGCTGGACAGAATGGACATTCTGACACTGTGGAGCTGATCCTGCAGCAAGGTGAGGCCAGAGAGCCAAGGTTTTGAACATCCCTTCTAAAAAGCATTTTCACTTTTTCTGAAGCACGTGCTGTGCAATTACATCAGTTCTGACATATGCATAAAGTAACCTATAGAGACTTTGTGGGTTCTATTGGAAACATAGATAATGGAGTACAGAGTTGTGTTCCTACTGTAACTTCTGTTATAATGTAGCATTTTAACTGGCAGATCTGCTTTTCAAGTATGATCACTGTGGGAGAACTACTATTTCCAATTTTAGCTTTTGTTGTAATATAACCAAGCTACCAACAAAAAAAATTGTAACCTAGTTGTGCAACCCCAGTTCGCTTTCGGACTTGGCTGTGCACCAAACCCTCCTCTGATTTCAGCAAAGTCTGTAACTGGTAGACTCATATGAAGATTGAAAGCACTAGCCAGTGCTCACAGTCAAACATCACCTTCCCTCATTCTTGCTGTTGCATCCCCTCCTGTACAACACAGACTAAACTCGAAGGCACCACCATCCCTTGGCTTTGTACTTATTGTGTGCTACTGTGGGAGTATTTTCTACAAAGAATTGTTCAACCATATCCGTAACGCAGGGGTGAAGATGAGAACTGAACCCGTCACTGACACCACCAGGAATAACCACAGGAAAATCCGGTCCAGGACTTGAGCTACAAACTTCCAGTCTTGTACAACCTGGGAAGGACAGAGGGAAAGACAAACATAAGCACAACAAGGCTAGTTCTTTGTTGATACTGCTACACGTATTTCAGCTCCCCATTTCTGTTTTTAAAGCTAGAAGACTGTAGTATGCCATGTCTTAAAACTGACATGGATCACCTTTTCAGCACTCATGGCTGCAAATCACCCAAAACTCCAAAACAATTCCATAGTTCTACGCACATGGTAATCAGACTTTTTCAGTCTGTGTAAAAGCTTTTAGCTAAGTGCATTTGTGAAAGTTTACAGACTTAAAGCTTGAAGATGGCATTATAGAGAACTGGGTTTCTTTTCACTGCAGTGCATTTCCCTTGGAGTGACAGGATGAGGCTCTGGCACAGCACTTGGACACAGGCATTGCTTGGAGCACAAGTGGTTCAACTGGCTTCTGTTTGCTTGAGTGATTCGTTGACTCAGATTGTACATTCAGAGGGGAATTTTGAATCGTGAGTGCTAGCACAACCCTACACCTACAACAGTGTTATTTATTAAACCAATTCAAGGGACCTTTTCATTAAAAAATATTTCAGCTTCAAACAGAAGGTTTCAGGCACGTACACTATGTGCTCACGTATTACATTTTTGATTTACTGTTGTTCTTTGTGCTGAAGTCCCCTCATCACAGTTTGAAGAAAGTCGTAGTTCTTACTAGGGGGTGCTAACAGAAGTTTGTCCCTTCCCACATGCTGCTGGCTGCCTTGCTCTGCCATCCTACCCTTGTTTATGCTCACGGTAATTTGCCATTTTAAAAGCCAGGTGGATCACCAGGA